CTCAACATTTAAACAACCTATACACGTGTCTGATTTGTTTGAGTTTGGCTCCAAAGGTCAAAAGTATCAAGAGGTCATAGGTTCAAATCCAATGAGAAATAAAAATCCCCTTGTGGCCACGAAGGTTCAAATGCGGTGACTTCGGGCTATCTGCAAAGCAGGTAGTCGTCCTGAGATTAGTCAGCTCGCATAGCGGGTTGGATATCCAGGTTAATAAAAAAAAGTTCAAAAATCATCATCACTAAGTCAAAGGTTGGGCCAAAAGCTCAACACGAGTATTTTTATCAAATCCAAGCCAATAAGCTCTTCGACTTATCAGATTACTCCAAAATAAGCCATCATAACCCAAAACACATGTAACGACTTTAATAAATCTCATGACCCAAAACTCCACAAAATTCTAACAAATTATTTGAATGGTTTTTAAAATCAAAATACCCAAAAATTCAGTACCCTCAAATGATCATCATATGACAAATAATCATCAAAAACCAGATATTTTACGATATCTCTTAAAAATTATCCAAAGACCTCAAATATTTGTATTTCTTAAAATTCATTAAACCAAATATGCAAAAGATGTAGTTTCATCAAATAACCAACAACATTTGATAACTATTAAGAAAACACTGTAAGACTTTAAAATATATACTTTTAACATTTATAAAGTTTTCATAAAGCAGCTTGAACTCATCTTACTAGGTTAAGTTAAACCTAGGTTCCAAACCATATATTTTTATAGAAACCCAAAGAGCTCTTAGATAGTTAATTTGATATCAATATTGATATATTTATTTTTTAAATTTCATGAAATCTTCAAATTTATATTTTAAAATGAAAACATTATATTTTTCTCAAAAACACATAAACCGTATTATAACATCTACAGAGACAGAATAAAACAAAATATTAAAATTGAGATATATCTCACTACATTGCACGAATACCATTTTAGTATATACATAACTATTTATCCTTTTGGATGAACAAAAATAACTTATAAATAAACTTTTTATCAATTCTTTTACAGTTTTTTTAAACTTTTAATTAATTTTAAAGGTAAAATGCGCAAAATAGCAACCTACTTTTGCAAATTTTCTTATTATAGCATTGTACTTTCAGTTTTTCTTATTACAGCAATGTACTTTCAAAATATTTTTTATTAGGGCATTGTACTTTCAAAAATTTACCCATTATAGCATTGGGTAACTTTTTAAATTAAATTTACCTATTATACCAAGTTTCTTTGCCACCTCATCGTCCACATAGGCTGTCCACTTGTACGATAGTGCTGACATGACATTTTTTATTACACCATTGTACTTTCAAAATTACTTTATTACAAGATCACCAATTTCTATTACAACATTATACTTTTAATTTTAATATTTTTATCATTTAAACATTGTAAATTTAATGGCAAAATGCGCAAAAAATATAATATTTTGCTCCTATCATCAGTAATCAAGGATCTTCCGTAATTTATATCCAAGGTTGATTAACCAAATCAGCAACTGAAATTTTAGGTGCTTCGCAATGGCAAATGGAATGAAGAAGATGCAGCCGTTCTCGTTCCAGGTGATATAATCAGTATTAAACTCGGGAATATTATCCCAGCAGATGCTCGGCTTCTTGAGGGTGATCCGCTAAAGATTGACCAGGTTGTTTTTTGTTCTTATGATGGTCGTGTTCATTTTATACTTGATTCGTCCTTTCCTTGCAGCTTCCTTCTTTTAATTACTTTAATTGGTTGATAATGGAGTCTGCACTGACGGGTGAGTCCCTTCCTGTGACAAAGCACCCTGGGGATGGAGTTTATTCAGGCTCTACATGCAAACAGGGGGAGCTTGAAGCAGTTGTCATTGCCACAGGTGTGCATACCTTATTTGGAAAGGCTGCACATCTTGTGGACTCTACAAACCAAGTAGGCCATTTTCAGAAGGTACGAAAGCATGTGTGCATCTACTTTTTCATTTAGTAAAGGAATGGCATTTCGAAGCAAATGCCAGCTTCTGTCGGGTTGAAACAGAGCTAGAAAATTTTATGTTGAGCTGAAACAATGAGAAGGATTGAGGGTTTTTCAGTTTCAAATATTGTTTTTAAATTAAAATTTTCTTTTAAATGACATGTAGGATATTCATGTGACATCTTATCCTACATGGTTTCCATGTCATTTTAAATTTGACACATCAACAAAAAAAAACATGTTCAAAAGGTAACAGGTTACCCAATGCTATAATGGGTAAATTTTTGAAAGTACAATGCCCTAATAAAAAATATTTTGAAAGTACATTGCTGTAATAAGAAAAACTGAAAATACAATGCTATAATAAGGAAATTTGCAAAAATAGGTTGTTATTTTGCGCATTTTGCCCTAATTTTAATTATTAACTTATATTGATTAATTATAAATTATTTATTAGTTTAGTTATTAATTATTTAGAATTATCATTAATTTTATAAGTTATTTTTATATTATTATTATTATTATTATTATTGTTGTTATTTATTTTAATATATCAAGGACACATTTGTCAACTTCTATAAAATTCATAGTAATTTTAACATTTATATATCCTATGGACCGTTTTGAAGTCGTCATAAAATAATATAGGCAAAAAAAGAAATACTATTATTCCAAATAAACATTTGTAATGAAAAAAACAAATTGTTTTAGAAAAATATGTAATTATTATAATTTTTTAAATTAAAAAAAAAACAATTTAACCCTTAATTATGAAGATAAATTTTTTCTATTTTATAATTAAGGATAAAATGAAAAAAAAAAAAATAGACATTTAGTTTTTATAATTGACATTTATTTTAGGACAAACTAAGAGCCGTTTACCAAACATGATCTTAGAGTGTTACATGCAAGTATTTCTTTTTATGTATAATTAAACACTCAACATCTTAAAACAGTGTGAATCTAGCTGTCCTGGATAAGAACGTGAAAAAAAGAAGAAGTTTGTGCACTATATGCAAATTAACATAAATATAGGGATCATTTATGTAATATTCGTTTCTTTTTTTTTTTCACATTTTAACCGTCACTTTTGTGTAAAACATGTTTTATAGTTTGCAAACATATCATCATATTTTTCTCATTCGAGTGGCTAAATGTTTTCTAGAAATCACAGTGAATCATTTGTGGTTGGAATTACATCCTTTTTCATCTAGACATATTAAAATGAACAAGGTAACAAAGTAAAACAAAATCCAGCTAAAGAGCGAGATTCCGACAACGTGTAATCTGGTAATCGATGTGCGTTTAGTCAAACGAAGCAAGTTCAAGATCTGACCAAAAACAGCCTGTTTGACTTAGTTCACGGAGAACCAGATCTGGACGACGGCTCATAATCCCATTCGGAAAGCTCCAGTGTAGATAAAAATGCAAAAAAAATAATAATTTACAGACTAAATTTGCATATTAACACAAGTTTAAGGACCATTTTTATAATATATTACTTATCATAATTTACTGCTGTCACTCTCATTTAAAACATATTTTTTAATTTACACGAAAAAAATTATGACAAAATATATTTATAGATGCAACCAAAATTTGTGGTATTCGTCTTTATGTGCATATAAGAAAATGACACAACAGTGAGATAGACATGGCAACAACAATAACATGAATTTAGCAAATTTTGAATCTGAATGCAAAAAGAATAAGTTTATGGACTAAAGTTGTAGATTAACATAAGTTTAGGGTCCATTTTTCATAATGTACTATTTGTCATAATTTAATGTGTCACTCTTGTCTAAAAGGGTGTTTGAGATTGCTTATAAAAATAACTTATTGACTTATTTCCTTGTGACACCGATAATAAGCATTTTGAGTGTTTGGATAAACAACTTATACCGGTGCCAAACCGGTAATAATTTTTTTTTAAAAAAGTTAAACCCTTCTGACTTATAATAAGTTGTTTCAAATAAGCAATCCCAAAACACCCCCTAAAAAATATTTTTTAGTTTGCACATAAAATGACGGATCTAGAAATTTAAGTGACTCGGGTCAGAATTAGAACTGTCGAAAATTTTGCAAAACCGAATAACCAAGATGGTTTCGGGTTAAACGATTCGATTTCAGTTGCTCTTTTACTATTTCGGCTAAAGCGTATCGCAGATTATCCTATAATTTTATTTATTGTCTGTAGATAATTGGTTCGAGGATTTGAACATATACAATAATTAACATATAATAAATCAGTTTACATTAAAGTTAAAATAACAAAATACTGAGATGCCTAATATTGAAATAGATTTAACAAAACGATACGCAAGATACTGAGATATATATTTTTTCTTTTGGTTTTGATGGAAAAAGTTCAAATGCATGGGGTTTCGTAAAAATTGAGGGGTTGTTTGTTTACTTCTTAATAGTTTCATTAATAGGCAACATTTGAATCGCTAAGAGGTGAATTTTGTTTAACAAAAAAAGTCTTACTCTTAATGGTTCTAAAACCTTCTGAATGATTTTGCATTTTGAGTATCCCTTAATCATTCAACACCCCAATTTCATTCTGAATAATTACCAAACAATCATTCAGCACCAAACCATTCAGCAACTACTAAAATAACTCATGAATGAGTGTTTTAAACATGAAAGTAGGTCATTTGTGAAAGTTATTTTTTCCAAAAACTAAATCTAGATTGTTTTGATTTTTAACTGAGGTTAAGAAACCCCATAACCTTATATGCGGCCCTGCCACCGCATATATATCATATCTATTTCGATTGAACTGAAAAAATGTATTTCAAGATCCAACCAAAGTGACAAACGTTTATGGTTAAGATGACTTTCGATTTTTGTTTGAATACAATGAACTGACGAATAATGGAACATATAAGGTAATAAAATGGAATAAATCTAGTTATTTTTGGATATGAAAAAAAATAGTTCATGGACTAAATTTGCATATCAATATAAGTTCAGGGACCGTTTTGTAAAATACATTTTCACGATTTAGCCGTGCGACTCTGATCTAAAACATGTTTTTGCAGTTTTCACACAAATCTTATTTTTCTCCCGGGACCTACCAAGTGTATTTCTGGAAGCAACCAAGGTGACAATAATTGTGGCTGGAGTTACCTCCATTTTCATCTGCAAGCAGCAGCAGTGTGTGAACCTCATTGCCTACTGTTATTTAACCAATTGAAGCAAATATCGTCGTCGTTTGAGAACGTTATCGCTTCTTGCGTCTCCTTATATATGCTCCACTTGTTCAATTTCAATCACGAAGAATCGGAATTGGAGTTTTGTGCAGATATAGATTCAGAGACGAAGTAAAGAGACTCGGTATGTACTGATTATTCTTAATCTCCCAATTTTACATTTGATTTAAGGGTTTTTGCTAAACACTCATGATTGGCGAGTTTTTTTTAACAGAAATTGTGATTGTTTTGTTTCCTTTTTGGGTTTATTTTTTCTGCCATCGGTTTCTAGTGGTAAAGAGGGTTTAGATTCATCAAGTTACGCTGAAACTGTAACAATTCGTCAACCGTTTATGTTAGTTGATTTGATTTGAATGTGTTTTTTTTTTTTTTAACTTTTACTTACCAAATCATTTTTGTCATGCTTTTTTCGCTCTAGATTTTGACACCATTTATCTGTATTTTTGGTATTTTTAAAATGTTTTTGATATAGTTATCGTCGTGTTTCTCCAAAATTAAATGTATATATTTCATGTTTGAAACTGGAAGCAGGTTATTTGACCTTCAAATTGAAGTCAAAATATGAAAGTATTATAGTGATGAGAACTGGAATTCTGATATCTAATTGTTTGAGAAGAATCATGAAAGAAATTTGTTAGAGAAGAAGACAGCAAGAAACTTGACAGTACTTTTTCCCCCTTCAATTTTGTCTGTAATCTTGTACTTAGACTATTTTTTACAATTAAATTTAATAATAATTTTATTCTTTATTCTCTTGATCTTTTTGCTGAATAAATGATAAGAAATGTAACAGCCTTGAAGTTCTGTAGGTTGCAAAAAAAGAAAACACAGGTGAGGGCTAATGGAGTTGCAAAATTGATTTCATAACTTCAATTGCCTAGGGTTTGAGGCAACATTATTTGAGAAAAGGGTAGGAGATAGGGTTGTTGGCATATTTATGCTAAACTTTAAATTTTCTTTTTCCTTCACAAAATGTTGCCTTGTCATTGATTTTATCATTTATTATTTTGGTACTGTTTGTTTAAATAATATACATCTTTCTTTCTCACTAGCACCAGAGCCTTTTTTAGAATTGCTTGGATTGTTATGTATTTAAGGTCCTGTAGAAACTATTTTGGGGTTTTGATCTGTTTGGTTTTTAAACTTTGTTGTACATAAATGGAAGTTAATTTTTTTAAGTATATAATATTTATATACGGCACATGCAACAAATAAACTCACACACCCTCCTCACCTATGGTGAGGTTTGAACCTCTGACCTCCTAAGAGGCCAAAGGCTACGATACTGCTAGACCAAAGACCCCTTGGTAATGGAAGGTAAATTTAATGGGTGGATGTAGTTATTTCCATTTTCAAGTTCTTTAATTAATTTCTTGTTTGCAGATCATGAATCTGGGAGATGAAATGCAGAGGGTTTTCCGCAGGATCTCAAAGGTATTATCTTTTTCCTATTTATAGCAGTAGCATTGCTGATCTCTAGAGAGGTAAGTATCTTCTTAAAGATTCGTCTTTATCATCTCAGTGTTAGCTCTAATTATGAATTTTCTTGTTAACCTGAACAAACATTTTTTTTCCTGTGCATAATATATTTCTTGTTACAAGTTTCATTTATAGTAAGACTTCAGGCTACTTACATTTGAGCCCTTCTTCTAAGCCAAATGTTAATTTTGGTTTTCGTCCTCGCTTTATGTTGAGCCTCAACCAGCACTTCATGACCTCTAGGAATGGTTGCAATATGGGTTCGTCCATTTTATTGACCTCAACCACAAAGGTGGTGCCTGATTGGTTTGAGCTTGGGCTCCATAGGCCAAAAGTTCCTGTAAATCCCCGGTTTGAATCCAAAGAGGAATAAAAATCCCCTTGTGGCCACGGAGGTTCAAATACAGTGACTCCAGGCTACCTGCGAAGCGGGTGGTCACCCTGGGATTAGTCGGCTCGCATAGCGGGTTGGATATCCAGGTTAATAAAAAAAAAAGAATGGAAGTGAGTAGAGAACACTAGTGGATATGTTGGTCATTTAGGGTGAGTTTGTTACGCGGATGAGACTGGACTGGACAACAGGACAATTGAGAGTGAGATAGGCGGGTGTAAGAACTGTGGAAGGTTTTAGGGTTTTAATTGACATGGGTATTTAGTTATTTATCTGTCTTGTCATATCTCCATGATTTTTGTTCCACCTATTTTGGTGGGACAAGAAAACTACAATTTTGTCCCACTCGGTTCTATTCTGCCCCAGCGTAATGTCGCACCTAACGAGGGATAACGAGTTTTTGTTCTGTCATGTCCCGTCCTGTTCCGCATACCAAACGCATAAAGATAAGTGGATATTTTACATTTAGGTCCCATATTTATAGGTTGAATTGTGGATTCATATATCTCTAAAGGATTTAGGTTTTTGCTCTTCATGATAGTGCCTAATGATAGTTTGAGTTCATGTTCAAGGCCTTCTATAGAGAGATGACTGATCGACCTGACTATCATGGTCCTAACATTTATTACAAAACAATATCCAGAGGTAGAAAAATGTTAAAATCATCAATTTGGTGGTATGCAAACATTGTCGTTTTGCAGTTTTCCTGATGGATGCTCATTTAGATTTAATTTCTTATGCAGAGTGGCAACATTGCGCTTCTCTTGCTCTGGCATGTTCTCCACTTAATTCTCAGTGTTTTATACATTATTCGGGAGATCTTTTATGCAGTTGAAAGCTACCTTATAACAAATGGTTATGTGAAAACGTACACAAATCTAAATTTAGACCGAGTCAAGTATCTTGGACTTGTTGTGGACAGTGATGAAGCCCGCAAGACCTCACAAGTTATCGAACTTTTGGAGTGGCTTTCAGCCATTGGTGTGAAAAAGGTCTGCTTATATGACCGGGAAGGTAAGGGTGCACTTACAAGTTACAAGACACTTCTTTTGGAATGACTTTTTACTCTCTTTTTTTTTTTTTTTATCAAACTACGTTATTGCTTTTCTTACACACTAGGGGTGTATAGTTTCCATAAATTGTTATGGTTGTCTTGTACTTGCTTTTATTCGTATGTTATTGCTTACTCATAACCTTTTCAGAACTTTATCGTAACAAGTCTGGGTTCTTCAGGGAAACAACTGCTCTACTCTCTGGGGTAGAAGTCAGGTCTGCATGCATCTTACCCTCCCTAGACCCCACCTCCGGGTGGGATATACTAGATTCCTTTGGTTTGATTATTTTGATCGAATAAAAGACACATCACATGTGTTGTGTATATTTTATTGGCTAGTCATGTTTGCCCTTTCAAATGTAGGGGTTTTGAAGAAGTCCAAGGAAGTCTTCGTGGAGAGATTCGGTTCTGCAGAGCTCCCCAATGTATTGTGTTCTACGATATCTTCCTGATTGATTATGCATGGATACTTGTTTTATGAAATCGTTCCTGGAAGGCTCTCCATCATTAAATAGTAATGATGGAAATAGGCATCTTGGTCATTTTACCTTTGAAATACCAAAAATGAAGCTGCAACAGTTTACATGGATGTCCCAAAACCAAGTGTTGCAATTTTCTGAGATAGAGGGAGTACCATTTTCTTTACTCGACAATTTATAATCCTTTCAAGTTGCTTTCAAATTTGAATTGTTTATAAGTAGTTCTTTGTGTATCTTAAGCTGTTCGATATGCCACATAGGCTTGTTTGTTAGCAGCTTAATAACCTTAATGGGACTCGCAGCTTATTCAGTCAGCTATATGTAACTGTTTGGTAGTGGCTTAATGATATAGAAAGTGGCTTGTTCAGTAAGCTTCTAGGGGGGAGCTTTATATAGAAAGCCAAGTTTTTTTCAAACCTGTCCCTCCCAATTAAAAAACATGCTCCTTTCATCTATGAAAAAGCCCTCCCAAACAAAAACCTTCCCTATCAATATAGACAGCTTTATCCATACATGACTTAAGGGCCTGCTTGTTAGCAGCTTAATGAGCTTAATAAGACTCAAAGCTTATTCAATCAGCTATACATGACTGTTTGGTAGTGACTTAATGATATAGAAAGTGACTTATTTAGTGAAGGTTTTTTTTTTCCAAAACTGCCCCTCCCAATTAAAAAAACGCTCCTTCCATATATTAAAAAACCCTCCCAATGAAAAACCTCTCAATCTATATAAACAAATTAATCCACACAGACAACTTGATCCATACATGACTTAATGGAAAACCAACCAAACAGCCCTCAACGAAAAACCAACCAAACAGCTTTACCCATATCCTGCATCTGAATCTTATTCTGAACATGTTATTTATCATCTTGCTCTTGCCGATTAATGCAGGAGAATTCAAAAACCATTCCCCTTCTCAGTAAAAAGCGAATGGATTTTGAATTTGTTTCAATCACTGATGGAAAAGAAGCCGTTGCGAAAGCTGCCAACCTACTTTTTAAAAAGTATTATGTGGATGCTGATTCAGAAAAACCGTTTTTTACCGAAACGTACTTGACTGAGGCACTGAGGACCCTTGGTTTGTTGTTTCTTTCCTTTCAGGGCTTCTGTGCATATGCTAAATATATGTTGACATCTTGTGTGTTAACATGGTTTACCTTCAGGTGCTGTAGAACCTGATCCTGATCTTTTATTAATTTATGGACCCGCGAGATGCCTCCTTGGTTTTCCAGCATGGCGGATTCGTTATACAGAGATGGTGTAAGCCCTCTCTCCTTTAATTTTCTGCTTCTATGATGATAAAATCATGTTGTCTGCATATAAAAACAATTTACTCCCTCTATATGAGGATTGCAATGTTTGAGGAAGAATTTGTTTATCTGTGAAATGTCTAGAATACCCTTGAAGGGGTAGGTTCAAATGAGAATGACAAAAAGGTTTAGAATGTGAGAATGACGAAAAATCAGATGAAAAAGTATAACAATATGAATGTCAAATTAAAGAGAATAAAATGCTTGTTCTTTTTGGTATCATTTGTTTGGCTCCAATTTTGGTTATATGTCGCCTTTTTTCGATCAAAAAAGGAGGGGGGGGGGGATTTTTTGGTTTTAACCCCCTTTTTTAGTAACATCCCTTGGATCATCTCATCTGACAGTTGGGATCTATTCTCAATATAGAAACATCTTGTGTATTGGCGGCTTGCACATTTGTGTAGTGGTATGAATTGATGCTTTCTGATTCACTTTTGTACTAACCGACTCCGCTTAACATATCCTTTCATATGCTCGAGTTCCTAGTGGCTGTCTACTACTACATCAATCCCATGAAAATTGCAACTTTGACTGAGTAGATAGTTTTAAAGTTTTGGACTTTTAATCTAATATCATAAACACCTTTAAGTAATGACAAAATAAAGGGAGGTTTATGGACCAAAATCATTATTATCAATTCTTTGCAACATTGACGATAGGCCAGATGCATTAAATGTTGTTGGGAAAGGAAAAGTTGCAATTTTCACAGTACATCCTGAAATGGATAAGTGTTGCCTTTTTTCATGTGGCCAAGGAGAAACCCTGCAACTAAATGTGATAATCCTATGCTTAATATTAGAAATATGAACGATGCAGATCTTATTTATAGTATAGATAGTGTTTTTGGAATAGCGCGTATATTTGAGTATTAAATCCTGATAAACGAAACTATATTGGAATGAATTAGAAGATAGAGGTGAAATCCTAAAACTACAGTATTTCTACTTTCTTAGTTTACTTATTGTTACTTCATGAGCATCAAAATTGGAGCAACCATTCGATGATTTGTTAGCCTGTCTTTAAATGAGGTTTTTGACCAAATTTTATGTTGCAGACACATGGGACCTTTGAAGTACAAGAAATATGGTTTGATTTTGAAAGCCATTCACAGATTCACCAAGGTGAAGCAAAACTTCGGTACGTTGACTAGATTTGTTATTGGCTCATAAAAGATTTTTCTTTGGGGGTTAACCGTAGGTATCTAGGCCAGCTTACACGCATCAACTATTCCCCACGCGACCACGAATGGCCTAGAGTCATCGTAGGTGAACCTCCAAGGCGGCAAGGGCTTTGGCGGTACCTGGATTCGAACCGGGTCAAGATGAGATTTCCACCACATCCCTTAACCAGTGTGCCACAACCCAAGTGGAATGCCTCAAATACCAAGCGAGTCCCCTTTAAGCCTCCAGGGCGCAACACAGTTGGTTTGAGGGTGGCATACTTGCACAAACAGACCATTTGAGTTTGACAGCCGTTGTAATTCCTTTGGGGTGCGTTTCGTACATGGATGGGATGGGATGGGACTATACTGGACAATAAGAGTTAGATAGGTGTGTGAGCTTCCTCTGGAAAGTTTTAGGGTTTTAATTTGATATGGGTAGATTAGTAATTTACCAATCATGTCCCCCTAATTTTTGCTCCACCTATTTTGTGGGACAGAAAAAATGTATTTTTGTCCCACAAAGTCCTGTCTTATCTGGATCTAAATGTCAGGTCATGTATTGTCCTGTCCTATTCTAATGTTGCACCTAACTTGGGAGAACAAGTTTTTGTAACGTCTCGTCCCACATTCAAATCTTTGAGATTCAAATTTATGTTTTTGGAAGAATCCAAAATGGTTACCTAAATTTTATTTTTGGTATATGCCAGGCTCATAAGATCCGACCACGAGGAATTGTATCACTACATGAGCGTTAAGGGGAGCAATAGCGCAGTTCCAGATGGACTTTACCTCCTCCTGTAAATGTCAATTTTCTGGGTTTTTGTTTACTCATGTCATAAACTGAATAACAAATCCATACTGGTATCCAGTTGTTGCAAATTGAGCATCTCTCTCTCTCTCTCTTTCTCTCTCTCTCTCTCTATAGAGAGAGGAGCGACCAAATAAAAACCACTTCAATTTATAAAAACCGTAAAAACTACTATCATCCATCGTTAATCTTATGAAATTTTTTCATGAAATTGCTAATCTTGTGAAATTGTTTCATATAATACTTTTTTTTGATGAAGTTGTTTCATATGTGGTTATGAAATTGTTTCATATACTAATTAATGAAATTTTAATGAAACTGTTTCACGTATTTCTCTAAAATTAAAATAATGAAGATGATAATATCCATGATTAACACCCTCCA